CCCCCCCCCCCTTGCTGCTGCCTCTCTATCAGGCAGCAGCATGGTGAGGGGAGGAGGCTGGCAGAGCCAGTGTTTGTGGGGAGCCTCCTTAAAGCTAGCTCCTCACAGGCACTGGCTCTCGCTTCCCCCGCACTTGCTGCCTCTGATACAGCAGCCAGCGTGCTTCCTGAGACCCGGGATCCCCAGGTACTGGCCTCAGCTGTCTCTGTCCCCTTCCCCAGTCAAAGGTCGCCTCCCTCCACAAGTACCCTGTCTCCTGCCCCCACCAGCACAGTTGAGACCACATTAGTGAGGCTTGGGGGGTTTTGAAGCGATTATTTTTTTTGCATCTCACTTGTGTGGCCTTGACTGACTTTTCTGTGGGTCAGTGACCCCTGACTCAAAACAGGTTCTCCACCCCTCTCATAAATAAAGACAACGCTGAAAGATTTTGTGTTTGACATAATATTTTATTTAAAAATGAAGCTTGTCCAACAAGCCCCCAGTTGGGGCCAAGCCCCCATCTGGCCGCAGCATCATAACACTCCTGCACCTCCCCCCAAAACCCAAACCTGAGCCTATCATACACTAGAACCCCCTCTCCTGAGCCTCTCATCCCCAAACTCCTGCATGTCCACATCCCCAGTCTTCTGCCACAACACTCCTGCACCATCCACACACTGCAAATCTGTGTCCTGAGCCCATCATACTCCCAGCCTTCCTCCCCGGAACCCCACATGCACCCCAGCCCAAACTCCTGCACCCTCACAGCCATAAGTCTGCGGCTTGCTCAGCACCCCAACCCCCCCCTTCCCCCTGCCCCCAAATTCCCTCCCAGAGCTTGCACCTCTGACCCCTTCCCAGTGCTTTTTTTGTGATGGTATGCCCTGGGACGATATACCGGCGCCCATTTTCCCCTGGCATAGTGGGGGTTTTTTGTGTTTTGGGGTTGGGTTTTTTTGTCAACAACTCCTCCCTCCCCCCGGTACGTGGCTCTTTGCATTCTATCCATCACTATTTTGGCTCTTCGTCTCTAACAGGTTGGCCACCCCTGGTCTAAATCATCCCTAAAAGATGTCTGTCTAACCTGCTCTTAAATCTCTCCAGTAATGGAGATTCCACAAATTACCCAGGAGTCTATTCTAGTGTTTAACTCCCCTGACCGTTAGGAAGGTTTTCCTAATGTCCAACCTAAACCTCCTTTGCTGCAATTTAAGCCCATTGCTGCTTGTCCTATCATCAAAGGCCAAGGAGAACAATTCCCACTCCCCCCTCCGCCATGTGACATCCTATTAGATACCTGAAAACCACTATCATGGTGGTTTTCTTAGTCTTCTCTTTTCCATAATAAACAAGCCCAATTCTTTCAGCCTTCCCTCATAGCTCATATTTTCTAGGCCTTTAATCATTTTTGTTGGCTCGTCTTTGGACCTTCTGCATTTTCTACTTTTCTTTCGCTAAATGTGGTGCCCAGAACTAGACACAATACCCCAATTGAGGCCTAATCAGTGCAGAGTAGAACTGAAAAATGACTTCTCATGTCTTGCTCACAACACTCCTGTTAACATGGTTGATTGAGTCATAAAGTTGGTTTGAATCCTGATATTCTGGCTGTGTAAGATGCAAAGAAGTGATGTCTTTGCTTCATTATATCATTTGCAAAGTCTCAGTAGATTTATCTGCCTTGATAGTCTACTTAACTTGGACTGACTGGCTAATGCTATAAATCCTTCCTGTGAAGAAATTGTGGGTATTTTTTTTAGTGGGGGGAGAGATCTGATTCAGATCAAAATATCTGCATTTGTGGAGGTGAGAGAATATCTAGAGGAGCTACATACCAGGTCCTCCTTTGTGTGAATTTCAGCAAGTATTGTTCTCAGAGGATCTTGCCATGTTGGGAGAACTTTGTCGTGACCTGTATCTGTTACTTCACAGGAAGAACGGCATTGCGCAAGAGGGTTTTTCTTACGCAAGAAGGGGGCAGTGTAGATGCTCCTTCTTGCGCAAGAGCCTCTTCTGGAAAAAATTGGTAGCTCATTAGGTATGCAAATGAGGCTCGTCGATATTCCACGCTTAGCCTCATTTGCATATTACTCATGCAAGAAGTCGCGGATGCAGATATAGCCTTGGAGTTTCATGTAGCTAATAATAAAACATTAAAGCTAGTAAAAAGTATATAAGTTAACTTTATAACAAAAAGGTATTTCCCCCAACAGGAATTAACTCTTTTTTGGACCTCATTATGATAATATCAATTGACCATTGAACTGGAAGTTGTTGGTTGCCTTGGCACCATTGATCATGGCTTGATTGCATTAAATATAGGCAAACAGTGGTGTCTGTGTGTGTGTTTGCATATAAATATGCTTGTGCATGCCACATAAACTCTTGGTGCTTCAAAAGACTAATTTTCTGAAGCTGAATGAAAACTGGAAAGAGTTTGAGGAATTTACAAGATGGCCCAAAAGCCACAATTCCACATTCATGAAGGAGGCCAACATGGGTTAAAAGAGAGTTAGTAAAGATGATCCAAAACCGAGAGAGAGAGAATCCAAAAAAACTTAGCTGAGGAGACGTCA